CGAACCCGTGACCCTTAGATTGCGAGTCGAGCGCCCTAACCACCTGGCCATGCCGGGCCCGTGTTCAAAGGATGGATGGACTTGTTTTCAAATAATTTTTTGAGCGGTTCACAACACAGAGAAATGAACTCATACCAAAAATTATGTATAGGATCATTACACCCGTTTAACGAATTTAATCAATTTTACAACTTTGACAGAGGAAATAAAATACTGCATTCAACAGTAGTTAAGAATTCTTAACATACTGAGGAAATGGATTATCCTTGTTAGCCTCTTTGACCTTTATTTTTACTATTATTACCTGTGTAGTTTGAGGATATTAAATCTAAGAAAAGATTGAGGGTAAAATATTCTACGACAATAAGATACATCTGGAATTTTAATACATAATTTATTAAGAAAATGTTATATAATTTCTAGGAAGAAAATACTTCTGTAGTTTTTTGAAAGTCTGTTTTTCAATTTCAGTTACAAATCGTACAGTGGTCTTTGTATAACTGAAATGATTTCCATATATAGTAAAACAAATTGCTATTTTTTGTGTCTAATTGATTAACTTCATAATAAAAATTAGATATCACACTAAAAATGGTTAAATACCTTTTCATCATGGCCAATAGGAACAAAGTAATATTTTAAAAGTTTCATACTTTTAAAGATATAATCTAAAAAGTTTATCAGTTTGTTTAGTTTTTAAACTATTTATATCTTTTAGTCTATGCTTTTCTTAAATATCTCTCACAAGAAAATCACAATATAACTTTTTTCAACCTTTGACTATTTTTTATTTTCAAAGAGGTGGGTTATCTTTTGCAAATGGAACAGATAAACTTATATAAATATAGTTGCTAAAACAGAAGATTAATACAGTTTTGTCAGTTTCCTCATCGGTACACATTCACATTCAAAGGTGAAGTTTTAGCAATTTTTGAACTGATAGATTAGAGGGAATGTAGGGAGTCAATACTACTAACCGCCAACTCGTGGGTTACGCTAATTGACTAGTAGGATTTGACCGTCACTCTTATAACATACGTATGGCTCCAAGCTACGAAGCAATTTTTATTTTCATATTTTCCCCAACGGGTTGCGAACCATGCTATTTGGAACTACAGACCTGCACACTAACCATTAGGCCGCGCTCAGCCGTTGTAAATAATGTAACAAGATTAAACAAAAAAACAACGTAGTATATATTTTGTCCGTCTAATGTTCTGGACAACTGTTGATTTGTTTTACAAGTTGATACGAGGTGGTATTATCAGGTACATTGATTTACGTTAGAGTAATTGTGAAGGATCCATAGAAAAACAGGTGTTCGACAGAAAATCAAAAGGGTTATCCGAAAATTATGTGACGTATTACCAACTTAAACCACGAAAAACAGTAACAGCTACAAACTTGCGGTTTGTAGTGAATGAAGGGCACATGTATGTATTCGTTTATTAATGAGCGTTCTGTCACTAAATACGTCATTAAAACAAACGTGGCGACAGAGAAGAATACTTGCGAACTGTGGTTAGTAGAAAGGAAATCGATTGCTCTAGTGCGAAGATAATAACGTATAGAAAATATTCACCTGTTAAGAATTCTGTCAAGAAGTATAACCGAACAGTTTAAAGTTATAGAGCCGAGATGGGACGATTTTCTGACTAGTACGGTCGTCATACATCACTCCATTGTCCATTTCCTCTGGGATCTTATGAAGAACATCGTCTATAGGACAAATGTGGCTGATCTGGGAATACTATATGAACGAATCTCCTATACAATGGCTACTATGACGCACGACACCCTGGCCAATATGCGGATGTAAATTGAATATCGACTCGATATCTTGAGGTTCACAAACGGAGAGCATGAAAAGGTGTATTGACAACAAATGGTGTGTCGCAAAACGACTGCATACATGTGTCCTTCATCCATCACAAACCATAAGTTAATAGTGTTACTGCTTTTTCGTGATTTAAGTTTGTAATATATCATGTAGTTATATAAAACCCTGCATTAGGAGAAAATATCTAAATTCTCCAACCTCGACTGAGTTCAATGAAAAGAAAGTAACTTAATACAACTTAATAAACAAACAACAATCAAAGTTAAAACAAGAGTGCTTTTGGGTGCCTTTACTGGGGAACACTTAAGCAAAAAGTGTGTGTTGAATCTAAATTATCAGAGTTGTCATGCTTTACACTGAGAAAACTTGACATTCAATACAAAATACAACAGTGTCGCTTTTCTCGGGACGAAAGCACTACTTATTGTGACTGATGCCATTATCATTACAGAATAAGTGATTTAACTTTGAGGTATCATCTGACTTGTCAGTGAAACATGTCACTGTCTGTTCTTCTGTATAGTATGAACCACTTTACAGGATTTAATTCCCACGAGAAAGTGTACATGACACCCTTGTTGAATGACCCAGTTTAGTATGTAATTAGGACAAGAGGTACTTGGTGGCTCCCTTGACAAAAATCCTGTATATAACTTTAAAAAAGTGTAATAAATAAGAGAGTAAGAAACAATTAGTATGCCTTCACAACTCTACAACACCTAGAAAATTTTAAAAAATCTATATCTTGAAATTGTTTAGATATAATCATTTATAATGATAGTGTTTGAAAGTCTGTTAAAGTACATTTTATGAAGTTATATTTAGGGGAGCCACCGCTTACACCTATAAGGATCAAAACTGTGTCCTATACAAAAAATTCCACAGTGTCTTGATAATTATGGCGTTTTTTTACTATCATTTATACAGTTGCAAAAATTTAATGCATATAGCATGGCTGAAATCAAAAGTTTACATAATTTTCACTCATCTCTAATACACATTGATGTGGTATTCTCATACAGGTTTTTATATGTTTTAATATCGTGACAAAGGTTTAATCCCAAAACACAGCTCGAAATGTTATATATATAAATAAACATTAAATAGATATATAAGTATAATCATTAGGGAACTAGTACAGTACAATACTATTTTGATGAAGAAACTAAAACGTCATTAATTTACTTAATTTTTAAACTATGTTTTTGTTTCTTTAGTGCATTTCTGTATTGATCCATCTATGAGTTTATAGATGCTCTATGGTTCAGGCATGATTACACTCAGAAATATATCATAGTTATCGATCTTGCACTGAAAGTTCTGTTTAAAGTGATTTGATAAAAACTATTAAAATCAGAAATTCCTTAGAACCTGAGCACTCTTAAATTCAACGTGGTCAAGTTTAAGGTCTAACTAAATCATCTTGTGTGTGAGAGTTACTTTTAAAATGCATACAAACATGTATTACTCCAGTGAGTAAGAAGCATATCTTTGATATAGTTTCTGCGCTTGCGAAGCACACTTCTAATTACATAACGAACAACGCTTTACGGTATATTATGACATATTCGTGCATTGTAACACCAAGTTCTCAGACATCGTGCAGTAAGTTAAGGTATTGCGCACACGGCATAGAGAAGGTCCCAGAGGTGCTCTATAGGATTTAGATCAGGAATGTTTGCTAGTGAGTTCGCGTATTTATAGTTTCTTGTGTAAAATATCTGGAAATAGGGTGCTGTGTATTATCCCGCATTAGGACAAGGTCAGGACTGATTACTCCCACGTACAACTGGATCCAATATCACACCAGTATATCCTCGAGCAGTAAATCTACCCCCAGAAGCACAATAAAATCATTACGTTCGTTCATACTAGTTCCTACACACATCACAATTGAAGGGGTGCTGAAATTGTTATGATCATGCATCGAACATAATGGTACATTTCTGGTTATCCGTAGGAAGGGAGGACACTATCCATCATATCAGTTTGTAGTTTTTCAAAAATCTAAAATTAGAGAAATTTGGCACATTACTAATCAAAGAAACAATGTTTTAACAAATATAAATCACACCCGCCAACTTCAAACAATTAAAACTATTTTATATGTTCGATTCTCGTTATTTACCCTTAACAATTTCTTTGCTTTTTGTTTTCCTATTGTATAACCATATGTATTAAATTCTATTATATATTTAAGTTTTGAGTTATCATAAAGGTTGAAACTTCAATGTTTTCACAGAAAACCACTGAAAATTAAGTGCAAGCCGAAATATTCGAAATATATGTGTATTTTCACTATTGTCTTGATCTTGTTGAATTTACGATTCCCTAAGAATTAATCCAATCAGACCATATTTAAGTGGTGACAAAGACAACAATACCAGTTGGTATACATCAAGTTATTTTACAGGTTGTGGGTAAATATAATATATATTTAAGAATATTACACTATATTTTGCTTTCAAGTGAAAATGTCCATTACATTTACTACCTTTGTGCTGATTTGTAAGCGCGGCTCTTTTAGGGTGATAATTCTGAGGCATAACTACAGCGGGGGAGAATGATGAAATGATTTATCAAAATTTATTTCACCTTATGAATACGAAAAGCGAGAGATGTTTCACGTTATGAATTATTATAAATATACAAATTATAAAAACGCTCAATTTGTCAGTATCATGTATATTCAATATCGAAATCTTCATTAAAGATAAGTTTCATAATTATTTGTCAACATTTCAAACGAACTTGTTAAGAATATATACTATATTACACTTCCTGTCTTTATTCACAAAGTCAGAGTATATAATTATACTTGTCAAACGTTTTAATTACCACTTTA